TCCGCATTGACATTTGTCTTCCCACTTTTGTGCCTGATCTCTACGTCGTACTCTTGTAAGGTGAGACTCCATCGTAGAAGCTTTCTACTCTTGTCTCTTACTCTAGACAACCAAACAAGAGGATTATGGTCGGTTTGCAAGATGACAGGTCTTCCATAAATGTAATATCTGAACATCTCAAGGGACCAAACTACTGCCAAGCATTCTTTCTCAGTGGTGGATAGGTTTTCTTCTCGTGATTGTAGTTTACGGCTGGCATAAAGAATGGGGTGTTCATCACCATTAGGGTTTCTTTGGCTTAGAACTGCTCCAAGACCTCGGTTAGATGCGTCTGTCTGTACTATAAACTCCAAAGACCAGTCAGGGGGGCTTAATACAGGTCCACATGTAAGAGCTCTCTTTAGATCATTGAATGATTTCTCTGCGTCCTCCGTCCATTCAACTTTGGTTGGTAGTTTACCCTTTGTTAAGTCTGTTAAAGCTGCTGCACGTTGCGAGAAATTAGGAATGAATTTCCTGTAATACCCAGCTAATCCTAAAAAAGATCTTACCTGTTTCTTCGTAGTAGGTCTAGGGAATCCGTCTACTGATCGCACGAGTGCTTCTCTAGGCTTAATACTTCCATTTCCAACATTATGACCAATGAAATCCACGGTGGACATGGCAACTTTGCACTTTGAGGGTCTGGCATTTAACTGATACTTGCGTAACCTTTCTAGGACGGTGCGCACACAGGACATGTGTTGGGTGAACGAACCTTGCGTGTCAATTTCTACATCGTCAATGTACGCGTCGGTGAAATCTTCTAATCCCTTCAGCACAACTTGCGTCATCATTCGTTGAAAAGTAGCGGGTGCTGTTTTCATCCCAAAAGGCATTTTTTTGAATTGGAATAGATTTTTCTTGAATATGAACGCTGATTTCTCCACAGTATCTGGATGTAAGGGAATCTGCCAGTACCCCTTGGTAAGGTCAAGCGTAGTTATGAAAGTCGCTGCACCAACTCTGTCAAGCATTCTGTCCATTCGGGGGATAGGGAAACCATCCATCTTGGTAACACGATTTAGTTTTCTGTAGTCCACACAAAATCGAATACTCCCATCAGGTTTTGGTACGATGACAACCGGTGATGCCCACGGACTATTGGAAGGCTCGATTATGTCCATCTCGAGCATCTTATCTATCTCCTCCATAACTGCACTCTCAAGTTTCTGTGGAACGTTATATGAACACGATCGGATTGGCTCAGCGTCTTCAGTATCAATCCGATGGACAGCAGCAGTGGTATGGTTAGGTTTTCCTGAAAATACATCTGAGAATTCCTCAAGAACACTATTAACTTCATTGCTCTGATCAGATTTAATTTCCGGGGATATACTTACATCCCTCCAAGTCTCGTCACTTGAAATCTGTGGTGAACTCTTCTCGTGCGGTAAAGCCGTCTCTGGTGAATTCTCCGTTACATAAGCAGCTGACTCTTCTCTACTTTGCCAACGTCGCAACAAATTGATGTTGTAAGTTCTAAGTTGTTTCTTCCTTTTACCAGTGTCGACCTCATACGCTCTTCCTTCTTTCTTCACACCAGTAACTTCATACGGTCCTTGTCACTTCGTTTCTAACTTACTTCTCGGGGTAGGTAATAGCACAAGAACTTGGTCTTCAATGTTAAATCTTCGGTCTGAGCTTTTTCTGTCATAGAATTTGTTCTGTCTGGCTTGGCTCTTCTGCATACTCTGCGAGACAACATTTTGCATGGTAAGTAGGCGCTTGCGCATTTCTAACACATGAGATACTAATTCACTGTCTTGCGTTTTCTTCTCCATCCACGTTTCCTTAACAATKGTTAGAGGACCTCTTACAGAACGACCATAGAGGAGTTCGAACGGTGAAAGTCCAATAGAAGAACAAGGTACTTCTCTATATGCAAACAGCAAATAGGGTAGATACTTATCCCATTGACTCACGTTGTCAGATACAAACTTACGTAGCATGTTTTTGAGGGTACCATTGAATCGTTCTACAAGTCCGTTGGCTTCTGGATGGTAAACAGACGTCTTTTAACTAACATTAAAATGTTAGTTATACCCAACTGTTCGTATAACTGTGCCATCAACTTACCAATAAGGTTAGCMCCTTGGTCCGATACTATCTCCTCTGGTATACCTACTCTGGTAAATAACATGATAAGGGCATCTGCTATTGTYTTGGAATTAGTATTTCTTAAAGCAAAGGCTTCTGGGTAACGTGTTGCATAATCTATAACTKTTAATATATACTTACATCCACTTTTGGATCTTGGCAACTCTCCTACTATATCAATGGCAATCTTTCTGAACGGTTCCGTTTCTATGGGTACTGGAAGTAATGGAGCTCTTAGCGCTCTCATTTTCCTTGCAACCAATTGACATTCCGGGCAGGTAGAACAGAATTTATTRACATCAAACGAAAGTTTTGGCCAATAGAAGTGACTAGTTATCCTTSCAGTTGTCTTCTCCTTACCCAAATGTCCCGCCAGTGGAATGGTATGTGCTATTCGTAGGATCTCTGGACRATAGGATTCTGGAACTACAATTCTATCTACACAAAGTGGCCCATTATTATCATTGTTGTTAAAGTGCGGCTACGACGAAAAAAAATGTTCTTTTTAAAGAATTTTTTGTGCATAATCCAGTACTTTGAAGTCTAACTAAGCATGCTGGCTAATTTTTTTATCGACAAAGTCAAAAGAATATGAGAAATCGAGCTTCGAAAGTAGTAAAAATCCCGTCCGCCATTAATCGGTTTGATATCTGAGCCCCAAATACTAAAGACTGCGGTATCTCTCGAGGAGAAGGTCAGTGACGTCACTGACTCAACACGTGACCTTTTGATTCGATGTTTTTATAAGAAAGTTACGATAAAATGGATAAATGAGTGAAAACGAAGCAAACCGCTTTGAAAATGACTCCGATTCTTCAAATGAGAGTTTCTTCTCAGCATCTGAAGACCTATCTGCGTATGATGACAGTGTTGAACCGCTTGAAGAGTTGACAGAGAAAGAAAGAACAGTAACTAAAGAAGAAGAGGACGAGAATATGATGCTGACTCGCAGGAAACTTCCCTAGCATCTGGATTTGCCAGGTGTTTTTTTAACCATTGCACTAAGAGTWGATTAGTAAGCATTGTTTTTTGCTCGACTCTATTTTTTGGATTGGACTAGTAGCAGAAATGGCAAAAATTAAAGAACAACAACAGCTAATAGACAGGAAGACTATTTTGGCTCTTCTCTTTTTTGTTGGTATTACTAAAAAATGTTGGATGAATTTAATTAAAAGACCTTAGTGAAAATTGCTACATTTGTGTTGCAATATTAAGTTTGTACCTAGTTTTTGGGCATTCCTTGTCGTCATTATTGTCATTTCTTTCAACATCATGGTCTCCATTTAGTATGTTTATTTCAATTTTTCATATGTTAGTGTGATATTGGTTGTCTTTGAAATCATAGTGATAAAATCAATGATCCTCATTGCTATAGAATGGTATAAATTCACCTCATACAGAGATTTTTTATTTGACTATCAGATTGTTACTGTACTATTTTCTTGATAATTGATTAATACTAATTAAAAGGACATTAGAAATATAATTACATGCACATTCAAATTTTAAATGTACATTCACCTACCATAACAACCATTTCAGCATTTTTGTTTATATGTATAAAAATGTTTCTAGCCATTGTTGTTGTTTTCAGCTGTTTTACAAGTTTTTTTTCCTTTTCATGCCTCTGACATGTGCACATTTTGATACTGRAGATATCTGAATTTTATTGTCTGACAGTACATCTTCACTAATCCTAAGGCATCACATTTTTGTAGAAAAAATGRAGAAAAATAACAAATCAAAAGATATATATTGATAGAGGGTATCATACAATCCTACTTTTTATAAAGTAAGAGAGTGCAATGTGATAGATACATGTTGCACTTGTAATTATTCAGTGGCTTCTATCACTGCAAGCTCAATAGTMATCTCWGTTTGTTGCAAAGGCACAGTTACATTTCAAGAGGATGTAAAGCAAAAATGGACTTGATAGTATTTGATAYATTGATTATAATCTTACAAAAAWGAGATGGCTGGTCCATTGTAGTGCACAGAGGTCAATTGGGAACCTCTGTAAAAGATAGTATAAAACATGTTTCTGAGATAAGACACTTGCAGGAATTTCTAACCATTACTATTGTACAACTCGATAGCCTACACCWTTTCTTGTTTTCAGGTTCAGAGAAATTTTTAAATTTAGAATTTTAAAAAATCACTTGGTGTAAGAAAAGCAAAAAAAATAACTCACATTTTGGAATGCGATTTTGCGATAAATTTTATTTTATTTTGTCCCTCACCTTTCGTCTTTCTCGCACGGAGCAAATTTTGGATTCTTTTTCAATCTCCCAAATTGTCGAAACAGCATATAAGGGTTCTTTTAGAGCTTCARTTAACGAAGAATCTATAGAAGCACTCTTGTTCAAAGTGCATCGAACAGCGAAAGTTTCCGCAATGGTCCTAAAAACACGACCCATTGCCGCCGTATTTTTCATTGATTGGGAATTTATGAATAGAAATTCCTAGCACGGAGACGTTGCTTTAGACCTGTACAATACAGCTATTGGCGGACGTTATAAATCACAGGTTTCTATATCTAAAAATCTACGTTGTTGTAGGAATGTCGCTATGTTKGTATACATTCTCTAGCCATGTGAGTGTAGCCTCGTTCGTGGGTTAAGTCARTGACATCACTTCCGCTTTGAACTTCGATTGCAAAGGATTATGGTCAGATCAGTTCAAAGTAATGGCGGCTCGAAAATTACTCGAAATAATGACAAATTTGAAGCCCTTCCCTTCATCCAAATGCAAAACGGCCTGGGTATGTTAATATATATCGTGTATACTAGCGAAAACAGTGGTCAGAAGAAAATGGACGGATTACGTCGTAGCCGCACTTTAACTTTGCGATGTAACAATAATTAATTCTGGAAGAAATATCCATCTTTCTCTTTTGGAGCGTCCTTAGTGGCTACATTGAAACAAAGCTTTAACGTGACRTCATTTTTCTGATCTTGAATGACTTGATCAATATTTCTATCAAGAATATTAACTTGGCATACCTCAGCTTCTTTCTGTCCCAMATTCGGTATTTCTTTCTCACAGTCCTCCTTGCTTCTATGCACGACTTTGGGTTCTTGCTCTACACCAGTTGACAACGTTTTCGATGCCAAATTGTTCTCACGGTCCATCAATTTTTCCCTCSTCTCTTGAGCTCTTAGTTTTGCCTGACTACGGGTGGTCACCAACGCAGTTTCAACATCTGATTCATCTACTTTCCAATAATTAAGCAAGTCGTCTCTTGAGAATACTCGTCCAAATGAGGATCTACCTGACAAGCAATCAACAGGTAAGTTATTCACGACTCCAACTAATTCCCTATACTTACCTTTATCCACTTGAATATCCACCCAAGTAAGCGGTACAACTACTCTCTCACCAGAAGCTGTAAGTATGGTTATACTTTCATCGGTGGCCAGGTCTTTTGCTTTAGATACAAACTTACGATGTATCAAAGTGCGACTGCAACCTGTATCTACCAACATCTTTGCTGATATTCCCTCAATAGAACCATGAACATAGTACTCAGAGGACCGTTCTCCTTCATCTAGTGGTGTCAAGCACAAGAATCCACTTCCWGATTGAGGTTTCTGATGTGCTGGAGGTTTGTTGTTTGGACAATGGATGGAAATGTGACCAACTTGTTTACATTTGAAGCACTTACCACGGAAGTCAGAATTTAACTTCTTTTCCTCTTTTGGTACCTCCTTATCCGGTGGTTTCTCTAGYGGTTTCCTAGGTTTGRATTTTTCTGTGGAAATGTACCTTCCATTTATTAAAGGACCTTTTCTGGCTTGGATATGCTMATTGGCTACTTTGGCTAGCTCTTCTGCCGTTTCAACTTTTCTCTCCTTAAGCCACGTSCGTAGTTCAGGACCAACTGCTTCCAGCWTTCTTTCSATAGTAATTTGTTCTAGGATCTTCTCGGCTGAATCCGTTGCTTTCGCTACCATCATCCACCTATCAAGATAACGCCTGGTTCTCCTCATCCATTGAACAAAGTCTTCTTCAGGTTTCTCCGAATGGCGGAACCTATACCTATAATGATCAACAGTCAACTGATACGATTCTAAAATAGCCAGTTTAGTTTTATCGTAATCTTGTGCATCCGGGTCTTTCATCTCCAGATAAACAGACTTGGCCCTTTCACTAAGCTTCGGGATTAAACTGCCTAACCAATGTTCTTTAGGTACGAATAGAGATTTAGCAGTCAATTCAAAAACTCTAAAGAAGTCATCAATGTCCTCCCCTTCTCTCATGTCTCTCATCTGAATGGTATGTAACTTTCTTACTGCTTTCTCTTGTTCTAATTTTTTCAACTCCAGTTCTATAGTCATAACTCTCAGTCTTCTTTCTTCCTCTTCTCTCCTTGCTTCTCTTTCCTCTCTTCTGGCCTCCCACTCCTCTCTACGGGCCTCCCTTTCCTCCCTTATTGCTACCATTTCTTCCTCTCTCATTTTTCTCTGCAGCTCCAGCATCCTAATCTGATGGTCAAGAACCCCTGGAACTGTACTGTCTCCCCCTATAGCCTCCGCTTCCTCTCCATCACCCTCACCCTCATCAGCAGAAAAATCCCCAGTGGCATTATCAAAAACCCTTAACTTGCTACAAAGATTTCTTTTCCCATCTTTGGGCACAAATTCTATTCCCCTAGTAGTGCATTCCTGCCTCAAATCCTCTAAACTTAAATCCTCGTAATTCATTCTCCCATGTCTGACATGACGGCACGACTTGACCCAATCTATCCCACTTCTGACACCAAAATTTTCTGTGACGGATTGGGAAGTCAACACGATATTGAAACATGAAACCTCTGCCGTATGCCTTCCCTCAGACAAAATGAATTACAACCACTCAATAACTTGAAACTATTTAATACGTTATAGCCAGTAACTACTTGAAAATACATGCAGTGGAACTTAATTAAATGACTATAGAGACGTATACTACTAAAAAATATTAAATAACTATAAAGACGTTTGCTCTACTAAATAAGTATTAAATAACTATAAAGACGTTTGCTTTACTAAATAATATTAAAGAACTATAAAGACGTTTGGTTTACTAAATAAATATTAATATAACTATAAAGACCAATGTGTGAGTATTCTTAGGTAGTTTTGTGCGTTGGTATTCAAACGTTCCTCCTCTTCTGGCTTTAAATTCGTTCCACGATACTTCTGATCACACTATACTTCGCTTTGGTTTAGTTCAGTTCACAATATACTTCTTAGTTCAGTTCACAATATACTTCTTAGCTCAGTTCACAATATACTTCTTTTGTTACTGCTAACAGACTCACTTGTTACATGAACTTCATCAATGTGCTTTCAAGGAGACTCTGACGGTCTGCTCCCTTGTTTCTTGGACGCCTTACGGGGACTCTGAAGGTCTGCTCCACGTAAACAGCATTAACTTTCTCTGCACAATGATCTTCGTGTTCCTTGAACGTTTTTTTCTCACGAGCCGCGTTGGGCGTATATATACTCACTGGTCCAAAATTTACATATCACTCAAGAATGCTAACTTATGACTTAATTAGATGAATGGAATTTCATCACAGCCAGGGCAAAGTGACTTTAATCCCGTTAATAAATAACCTTCCTGGCGAGACAGCAGTGGCTGGTAAAACAAGGACAGCGGTATTAAATTCAGTAACAACTGTTTGAGAGTTTGAATAACGATCATTTGGATGAATTGTAAGACTTTTTAGTGTCTAAGGCGACATATTCAGTATATATTTCAGATAAGTAAAAGTTTATTCATGCATTATCGAATATCTAAGTTGGATAAATTCTGCAATTTTTCCATCTTATAGGTCATAATTTCAGTTCTAGCTCCCTTGATCTAAAGACGGAAAAACTTAAAGAGTACTAAAGAAAGACCCCCCAAAAACCAGTCCTAAAACGAATCCAGAGGATTGTTGGAAAATGGTAGGAACTAGCGGTAAACTAGTGTGAGCTGCGTCGGTGTTTCTAAAAAAACAGTTATGTAAAAAGATAAATTGAACACCGTAAAAAAGTATGTGAAATAACTTA